AAAAAAAAAAAAAACGGAATGTCAAAAGTACAGTTTTTCCCATGACACCGCTATTATTTTAACTACCTTCACTCCTCGGTAATGTTTATTGTTTTAAAAAGCGATGATTAGAATTGTTATAAAACCTAAATATATGAAGAAAGTGAATTTAAACCATTTTCTTTATTGTTGAGAATTTACAACAAAAATATTAAACACTATTTATTTATTAGATTGTCTATTTACAAGAATAATTTTATATTTACAACATTCTCAAAATTAATAAAATTGTATTAAGATTAATGCAATGCAATATTTAACATTTAGCAATTTATAAATTTATATATGAAAACAATTTTTTAATCATAAATTTATAAAAAATTACAAAATTATTAAAATATGTGAAGCAACTCTAAGGAAATCCTTATTATTTACCATTTTATAAAGTTAAAATCACTTGGCAATTGGCCAATGTTTTACCAACCATCCCAATAAACAATATAACAAATAAATAGTGTTTATTATCTTTGTTGTCAATTCTCAAGAACAAACAGAATGTATAAATTCACTTTGATATGTTTAAGTTTTATCACAATTCTAGTTGTAAGATCGTAAAAAAGTAAAAGTAGAAAGTGGAAACTTATTTTACTAATTCAGCTATAGCGCTGAAAAACGTTTACTTCATTGTGATGGAGGGTTACAAGCGATAGGGACAAGGAATGTGCTTATTTAGTAGTTAAAATAAAAGCGTCCTTTTCATACTTTTCTTTTGCAGGCACGGAGGTCCATATTTTCCGAAATTCTTTGGTTAGTTAGAGTTCCCAGCCCAGGGTATTTGAATGCTGTATTGTTCTCATATTAAATGTGGACCCCTGGGCACTTAAAAGTTATCCCTAGGGAAAACGAGTCACGTCTTATCCCTAAAGTATCAGATGACGAAGAAAAAAAATAAAACGCAAAAGAAAGCTCTGGTTCTATCCGTCCTCGCATTGGCCAATCCACACGCACTCCAACCAATCAAAATAAAGTACTCTAACAATCCTAAAACTCCGACTGTCACTCCGCTGCCCCAGATTTATAACCAGCATAGGTCCACAGCTACAACTAACTGCAGGCGGTCGACTTTTTGATTTGACGACGGTGTTAAAGCCATGGTGAGATTTCCGACTTTAGCACGGCAAAACTGTACTGATGTCACGCCTACCCCCCAGGGCAATCAGTGCACTGCCATAATTACGTTAAAGTATCATGTCACATCAGTTTGGGTACCTCTGGTCTATATGATAGTCGACAATAATATTCACACCGTTATTTTATATGCAACTGTTGCATAATTTTAAAAAAATACATGGTAGCATCTGTAAAATTAATATCTGGGAAAAGATTGGCACACGTCAAGTTAAACAGAAACAATCCAGTATGACCAGATGAGATTCAAATAGACGATTTCAGGATCTCAGGTTGCCGAATTAACAAGTGAAATATATGACAGCGGCGAAATACTGGAAGACCTCAATGTATCTATCTTCATGTCGATGCTAAAGAAACCAGGAATTCCGTCGGACAATCAGCTTAATGAACTACATAACTAAACTTATAATTAGAATTTTAATAAATAGATCACGTAGCAGAATTAAGCTAGAATTAGTGCCTAACTATTGATTATGACACTGGAACAAGAAAGACTATTTTCATGATCTGAACGTTGACAGTGAGAGAACAAGAAAAATACAGAAAGATCTATGCCTACATTTCGTATATTACAGAAAAGCATTTGATTGAGTACGACACGAAGACCTACTTGAAATACTAGAAAGGACTGATTTTCACGAGAAAGCTATTGGATACATCCGTAACTTTAACTGGGAGCAAACAGCCTGCATGTAGATAGAGAAGGATTTTAGGTAATACACGAAAAGATTAGTAGGATAAGGCTGATTTTTCTTACCGGGTTTATTTAACCTGTACAACGAAGCGGTTCCAAGAGACATAGAAAGTCTACCAAGATTTATTTGGAGTTGGGGACATAATCTTAACAGCATAAGATACGCAGATGACACTGTGTTGATGAAAAACCGAAATAATTAAATCAGAGAAATCATTCGAGAAAAGTCTAACCATTAACTCTATGAAGATAAAATACATGGTTATCAGCAAAAGAGACAATCTAAGGTGTCAGTTACGTATTAGGGACGTCAAAATCAAGTAAATTCGGGAATTTGATAGTACAATAAAAGCTGGTGTAAAATGCAAGCCATGAATTTGAAGGCGTGTAAGAATGGTAAAAGTGAATTCTAGAAACTAAGCAAAGTATTAAGAAATGGAAGAATGTAGTTAGAAACAAAGAAAAGAGTGCTGAACTGCTATGTAATATCTAATCTTCTATCATCATTGAATGCTGGACAATCTCCTCATGCTTTCATAAACTATGCAAATCATTAATAGATAGGAAAATGTCTTTAGAAACAGACAAAAGAGTACTGAACTGCTATGTAATATCCAATCTCATATTTGACAGTGAATCATAGACAATCTCTTTCATAAATTAAGCAAAGTATTAAGAGATGGGAAAATGTGGTTAAAAACCGAGAACTGAACGGTTATGTAATATCTAATCTATATGGCAGTGAATACTGAATAATCTCTTCGTGCCTTTCATAAGCTAAACTAAATTTTAAGAGATAGGAAGAAAGAAAGAAAACTATACTGAGCTGCTATACAATATCTAGTCTCCTATATGACATAGAATAATTAAAGAAAAAGATGTATTTCTGCTGCCGAATCCTGACAATACCATAAACAGAGTATGTGACAAATGAGGAAATAGAACAGGAACTACGAAGAATCTGCCGATAAGAATCAGAGAGAGGGGAAATTTCTGGGACACAAAAAGGGGAAAGAGGGCCGGAGACATTAACACTCAAAGGGCATATTGAAAACAAGAAAAATAGGGAAAATAGCGTGTACCTACTTAACAATTTTGAGTGAAGATATGTCAGAACAAAGACGGGGATGGTAAAGGATAAACAATTACTTAAACGATACGAAGATGTGGAGAGTCATGATCGCCAATTTCTGAAAGGATACATGACTCAAAAGAATTTGATAATTATTAGGGAGCGAGTGGTGAATATCTACATCCCATATGCAGAAGCGTGCGTTTCCCATGCATCTGAATTCTGTTAAATTTATTCAATACTAGATTTATTCAATACTAGACTATCCGTAACCCATTGGTTCACTGACGGTTCAGGTTATAAAACATTGAAGTAGATTTCAACATTAAAAAATGTCTGAAGAAAGTTGAAATAAAAATACTTACTGTATAAACAACTCGTATTTTTTAAATTTTATTCACTTAAATCAGATTAACTTAAATCATTATACGCCGGACGGACGCACCACGCAAGCACGCACACAATCAGAGAGAGGTGGAAAGAGAGAGAGGTGGAAAGAAAGAGGAGTGAGAAAGACAGAGAAGTGAGAAAGACAGAGATGGAAAGAGACAAGTGGAAGGAGAGAGATGTGGAAAGAGAGAGGTGGAAAGAGAGAGGTGGAAAGAGAGAGGTGGAAGAAGAGAAGTGGACAAAAACTAAAATCATTATCCGCGGACGGACGACGTATCAGGTAAGCACGCAATCACAGACTTTTAGTATTATATAGATGTCCTGGATGCAAACAATATCAGCGCTCTGATTTTGAAAACTAGAAACCGAAAACAGCTGAAAACCAGTTTTTCGCTGGAAACATTTGCACAGGATTAATGAATAAAATCGTACATTTAGATTCTGAAACAACCATGATATTATTCTTTTTAATTATCTCATTGTCTACTTAACCAGTAATGAGACGGGGAGGATTTACGTAACTTGAGATATGAAGGAAGAAATTTATATTACCCGAGAGATGATGGTGAGTATATATGTAACACGGAAAGGATTTACGTAACCCGAGATATGATTTTTACAGCCTGAAAAATGATGGGGAGTATTTATGTAACCCATAATATAAGAGGTTGGATTTACTCGACTCGAGGTATGACTGAGTAGATTTAATCTTTTTTTACATGTGGATTAGGCGATTTATATTGGTATTTTCTGCAAGTATATTGCGGATGGAGTTTGGTAGGTTTTCGTGTGTGTTTAAATGAATCCTAATTAAGACTAAAAATAATGAAAGCAATAATAATAAAAAAGAAAAAGTCAACACTCAGTAACATCAACTACGAACATGGCCACAATATGCTGACCGTGTTTGGAAATTAAAACATTCCTATAATTATAGACACATACATAAAAATCGATACATTCAGTTAAAAATAAAAATAAAAATCATCCTTATAATGGTTAAAAGAATAACCGAAAACACTTGAGTTAGGCAGAATATTAGGACAGTTTTACACACTTTATGTCCAGAAATGAAAACACTTATAGGAACGAAAGAAAAATTTACTAAAATGCTTAATCACAGTACCTTGTCTTTAATGAAACTTATATATATATGTATACAACAACCGGAGGTATCAACACATATCGTCTTTTAGTAATAATACTTACAGATATAATTTTTTCAAAATATTTCTGGAGGTTGAAAGATGAAAATAAAACTCCTAAAGTGAAATGGAAATTTTTTAAACTGGGAAGAACATGTCGATCCTTATATGAACCTTGTTTTCTGTGTTTACAGGAGAAAATGCAGCTTATCAGGTTCTTGAATAGGGATGATTTATTAAATCAAAGGTTTGAATTAACGGTTAATTGTAAACATATCATACCTCTACAATCTTGCTAAACTTTGAAATTTGACATTTGTTTTTTCTTATATTTTAGAAAAAAAGTTATTGCGCCATATAAAGCATATCTTTCTGTCAGTGAGATCAATTTTGACGTAGTATAATTTGTATATTATTCTTCTAGTATTGTCGGAAATATTTAGTATAAAGGTATAGGCGTGCGATTGAAATTTTGATATTTTGCATTGATTTGATTGGTTTTATTAACACCCGTCCGTTAACATCTAAGTTTGCAGCACCTGGTATTCCCAAGCGGTCACCCATCTAGCTACTGGCCAGACTCAACGTTGCTTAACTTCGATGATCGTACGAGAACTGGTGTTTCAATAAGATATGGCCGTAAGCCTATAATATCTGTAGAATGTCTAAGGAAACGGCGAAAAGGTCTGTCAACAAATGATTAATGATGGAAGACAAGCCTATGGCCAGAAATTTCAGTATCAAAAACTCCATTTTAGCCTCCAAGCTAAAGAATAAATCGATGATCTTTTATATTCTCCCAGACGCAAACCAAACTAAAAGGGTCATTTTTCAATTTCTAACACCCCCCGCAACTACATAGGAAAAAAAACCGCGCCCTGACAGAGTTTGCTTGCAGGGCTTCGCCACTAAGGTCTGGTTTCTATAAAAAGCTACACGACAAATGGATAGACATTTTGTAGCAAGAACGAAGCGTTTCCGTTCATTTTCGTGGAATGATGAATGACGTTAAAGGTAAAACATTTTGTCTGATATCACAAGATAAATTAGACAAATGTGTTAAGCATAAAACACACTTGAAGCTATGAAAGCAACTACTAAAATAAATCTTTTTTTTTAAACCATTGGCCGATGAGTTCTTGATAAACATAAGAAGTTATCAAGAAAACTCTGTCATAGCAATACGAAATTTTGGATTATTTGAATCTTCTACGGAAGCACTGACAATTCATTATCGCAACACGATAAAAATATGACGGGCGGTTTTCTTAATTTTCTTTCTTTTACACACACACAAACACACACACACGTGCGCGCGCGCAGCAAAAGAATGTGTTTGCGATGTGTTGGTTGGTTGGTCGATTTGCTTTAATGGCATATCAACATCTATGGGTTATTTAATGCACAAACCTAAATATTTTATAAGCATTTTTATGCCTTCAGCTAAAGGCATGCATATTTTTATACTTTCAGGATAAATGTATGTTTTTATCTATATAGTTTATAGATAATATGTATGGGTAATTTTTTATAAAAATGTATTTTTGTACTATTTTTAGTGTTGTATCGATTATCATTTAATTATAAAAATGTAATGCTGATAATTTTACTATAAAAATATATCGTTGATTTTTGTTTCGGGGTTCACTATTTTTCCATAGCTGGGACCCGAACAGGTGCTACCACCCCGGATCAGTGTGTAATTGGTCACAACAGCAATTAAGAAGTGTTTTCACGCTCTTCAAAGACTTCAACCTCCCAATCAGAGGCCGTGATGCCGGATGTGGTGCATCGTCATACACAGGACGTCTGTGATGGGGAGTTATTAATTACATTATGTACAGTGGGACTAATATCTTCAATTTTTTGTTATCGCAACGTTTCGGCATGTTTGCTTTACGGCCTGTTTCAGATGCTTATAAATACGGCTAACCTTCAGTGAATTTCGAATAGAACACTTTATACGGGTGTAGATTTTCTTCCCATTTCTCTAAACATGTCTAGAAAACTCTCACCTTGTTCTTATTTAGTATTGCTCACTTACTGTTCGCCCTGTTTTTACTGAATCTAAGTTTGTATTACAAACAAATACTATATCATTATTTACGCTATTTACATTATTCGAACTGTTGTCCTCATCTTCGTTGCCATATTCACGACGTTTCGGCCGTTGTGCGCTCAGGCCTTCTTCGAGTGACTGGAATTTCAAACTGAACCCTTTATTTCGTCCACCGGGGTAGATTATTCTAGTTTAACGTGCTATGCCTCTTTAGGGTGTCTCAGTATCAGTACTCAACTCTTCAAGTTTTTGGTTCACCTTTGCCGTAGCTAGGTATTGAACTGACAACTCTTTGGATAAAGTCACTGGATTCAGCCAATGCATTTATCCACAGAGCCTAATGGATAATTACAATACCTCATCTTAGAAATATAGACAAATAGTATATCACAAAAATTCACGAACCAATGCTTTTAATCCCAAGTACTGTTGCACAGTTAAACTCGAAACACAAATGGTAAAGAAGGAAACTTCCGTCAACACTACAAAGAGAGATGACAGCGGGCTTCATGAAGACTATTCTCCAGAAAACAAAACAGTTTTCACAGAAAGAATTTTATAAATTGCAACTGACATTGACGAGAACGGTTTACTCGATGAATGCCAAAAGTTTTCTGTGTGGAAACGGCTAATTTCACCCTTATCACGACCATTACACACACACACATATATATATATATATACATTAATAAGGTAATATACTATTAATAAAGTATTGCTCGATATTTCATATTTCTATGTCGATTTGTGTTAAAAACAAATTCTATATTTGCATTTAAATTATATTTATATAGCAACTGAACGAGAAATTTATAACATTGTTTCGTCCTCTAGAAAGACTTCATCAGACTAATATTTTTATTTATGTGTAAGGGGAAGGAATACGTTAGGTTATGATGTGTTGAAGATCTTTGCTAATTTCTCAATACTTTACCGTAGATTGCTTTCCGCTATTAACTTTAGACCTTCATCGCCAGAGTCCGTAAGTTCTATGCTAACAGTTTCTTCTTTTACACTTTCCGCTTGTGTAACTCACTTACGGTTTTTTGCTTTCCAGTAAACTTTAACCTGTAAAAATTTAAAAAACCTTGTTTTTCTTTGTCGCAACAAGGGGTAGTAAATAACATAGATAAATTTTAGCGCGTTTTTTGTATTTACACACATTAATTTGGAAAATCTTGCAAAAATAAAAATAATTGTCAGATGTTAATGAAACTTTCAGAAACTATTCACAGATGATCGAAATTATTATAAATATGTGTTTTTTATTAAAGTCATGGCAGAAATATTTTTTTATATTTATTAACACCCCCATAACTAATTTTATGAAAAACTCTAGAAATTCGAGACCATCGGTTTTAGTGATTACAATAGTTAAAAGCACAAGGCTTTGAAGAATGCAAGTCATGTTTTTTTTGGGTTTTTTTTTTGGGGGGGCCAACGTACCTGAAAATCAGCTGTGAGTTGTAACATACAAAACTCAATAAAACAAATATATTATTTAGTTTCAAATGCTTTTATTTGTTTTAATTTGTTTTTATGAATATGGACAATAGTTTCTGAAAGCCAAAAATTTTTTCAATGAAAATTGAATTTTTAATACAATTATTTCTTATTCCTTTAATTTTAAAAAGATTTTTAAAAAAGATTTAAATTGAATTTTTAAAAATATTTTAACATTAGTTAAAAACAACATCAACCTTTCAAAATGTCCATGTGAGATTGTCATTGTCTCGCGCTTTGAAAATTGTATAATTTGGACCAATCATATTAACCATGGTAATTAAGAAATGTAATTTTTGTGTTTATAGTCGGACAGTAATTATCAAGTACGGAAGACCAACCAGAATACAATTTAGTTGCATTATTTGAGTTCAGCATTGTTCTCCGCTGTTAAGCCTTTTACTTTTGCGAAACACGTATGGAGAAGTTAATTTGAGTTTTCAATTTCAACTGAGTAACAGTATCATCTTATGAAATTTAACTACTGCTAAACTTTAATTTATATGATTTTATTTTTATATTAATCTCAGTTATGACATTTTTCCATAAATGAAATATCAAAATTAATAATAAAATGCATGGAAATACAAATAACACAGTAAAATGTAATAAATGTACATAAAATTATAGTATTTTATGTACACTTCTGATAAAATATCATAAGAAAGGTACCTAAATTAATTAGATACCTTTTTTTATGAAATTTAATCTCACTATTAACAGTCTTATTTTTGAATTTCTTTATATTGTTCATAAAGCATCGTAAACGTAAAAATGAAAGCTGAGTACAAAAAAAAAAAAATAAAAAAATAAAAAATTAGAGCGCTGAAAGTTTTCCTTAAAAGTAACGAGGTAAATAATTTGTTCACTTAAATAATTTCACTTCCTTCCATCCGTAGAAAGAATTATCCTCCCGTAAGTTATCTAAACGTCATGAATGTGCCTTTCGTCAATCGTCAAGCAACGCAAATGGTTATGACCTGCTTTGTTTTATTTTCAAATTACATTTTTTTCGGCGCAAAAGCTAAGTTAAGCTTGGTTCAAAATATTTTAAATAAACAGTATAATTTCTGTTTTTATTAAAATCAGTTTTGAAAAAATGATAATTGATTTTAAAAGAATATCAAAGTCAGATTTTAATTTTTTTATCAAATCGAAAAAATGATTGAAAATGATTATCTGTCCTTTTTTTTGACCAAAAAAAAACAATATTTTTAACGAAAATTTCAGACGTGCTAGGAACAATTAAAAAATGTAAAAAAATACCACAAAAATACTTTGATCTTTAAAAATAATATGAACATTAGATGATAAAATTTTGTTTCCGTCAAGTTCGGCTATTTTTTCATCATGCTATGCTCTTTTGTTTACATTTTCGTGGGTGAGTTGTCCCCGTTTCATTCTCACGATGTGTCTTAATCGTGTTTTCAAATTGATTTTGTTAAAAAACAATTATGTTTTTCCCATTTTCGGCGCCGTTAGAACCACCACAAGGTAATTTTATGTAGTCCTGTGAAGTTTTGTTGAAATCGGCTAAAAAATGTAGGAAATTCGATCCAATATATAAAAACACACACACACACACACACACACACACACACACACACACACACACACACACACACACACAATCTGCGTTTTATAATAAGTAAGATATACATACATAAAATATATATAAAATATATAAAAAATAAAAGTTTACAAAATCAGAGAAATTAATTAGCTATTTTTGCCGTCATTGTCAAAAATTTTACTTAAATAATATTTAAATATAAATTTAAAAAAAATTGTGACCTAGAAATATACATACTTATACTTGATGTGAAAATAATTTTACTTACTGTAAGCGATTCTAATACATTTACTTGCTTTAAAAAGAAATATAGTATATTAAAAATTAAAAGTGAAAATTTTTTTGCCGTTAACAATAATTTTTTTTAAAAATTCGGACGACATGCATTTAACGGATGTCAGATTTCATTGAAAAATACATCCCTACCCCTACCAAAACGTAACTAATAACTGATACATCAAAATACAGCCATGATGAACATGCAAACACCCCTTGTCTGGTTGAAGTG